CTTACTTCCTTGCATAAGATGCCCTTCAATTTTTAGTGTAACGATTTTAGAAAAAAGTATCTTCTTATAGATGGAAAAATACGGTAGCTGCCAATAAGACAATGTTAACAAATTGGATGAGATGAAAGTTTGGCTTTTTGGTGGGGTGTGGAAGTTTAAGAGATCTAAATGGATTTTAAGATTCTTGTTCCTTAGTTTTGAAAGAAAAAACTGCTGACAATTGGGTTTGCAGCTAAATTTCAGCAACACAATCTAGGGATGGGATAGGTATTCTGAAGGTTCCATGTGTCCTATGAGCTACCCATCCCTGCCCTAAGCTAAAAACATGGTATAGATTACCTAAGAAGTCTGTGTATTATGTCTCGAATTTAATTATCCAGCTTTACATATCATTGAATGAAGTTTGCCTTAATTTCACTTATTCGTGTATTAGTGCTAATGTTAATTTATCATTTTTTGCTTAACAGAGATGAGAGACGGGAGAAACACATACAAGGAAGAAAACAAAGAAAAGACCAGAAGCTTAGCACACTGAGGAGACTGACTGCTGTTTAAAGTTAACTCTCAAATTGTTCTATAGATAATCTTAATATTCAAAATCTTTTTCTTGTAAATAATTTTTGTCTGTGCACTGAAGTACTTAAGCTGTCTATTCTGAGTAATCTTATTTTAATATGAGCATAGAACATTAGTGCTACTAAATTCAGTTATTCAGCAGGTGATACTGCTGTCTTAGCAGGCTTAGAAACACTTTTAGAAGGGCAGCTATCTTCTCTCAAATCTTTGCTTAGTATATACCTTAACTATATCCTAGATTGTCTGGAAACATACACTTTTTCAACAACTGGATCAAAAGTTTATTGTATTAGACAATACAATCTTCTGGAAATATGGCAAGTTTTAAATTCACTTAATGAGAAACCGCTTTTTATAAAAATGTCTTAATTTACTCCTAATTAAAATAATTGTGTTTACAGATAAAAGTTCATTTTAATTTTACTACTATACAGCTTTGCCATGTGTTGTCAACTGTTCTCCATCAACCTTTTTTCATTATATATGTACTGTGATGAGATTTTTCTTTTTAAAGTAAAATTGATGATTTAATTGGTATTTCAAAAAGAAAACCTAGCACAGCTAACTTTATGACAGAAATAAAAACCTATCTTCTATACTCCAACTGAGGAAAATAGGAGAATACATATTGGAGAAAAAAGGTTTCTAAACTGATTTCAGAATATACATAGTTATCCTAAACATTTTTTTTCCTTATACAGTGGTGCTTAAAAGTTTGTGAACCCATTTAGATTTTCAACATTTCTACATAAATATGATCTAAAATGTCATCTGTTCTCCACACAAGTCCAAAAACTAGATAAAAGAATCTAATTAAACAAATGAGTCAAAAACATTATACCTGTTCATTTATTTATTGAGGAAGCACACTGTAGAAGATCAAATGAAGTTCTTGTACCATAATCATAAAATGCTGGTTTCCAGGCAGGACAAATTTGTCCACTAATTACTGACACCTATGATAATAATGGATTAGCTTGATCAATCATCAATTATACTTCTGGGACACATCTGGGAAAAATCATTAGGAAAGAAGACCAAGCCACTTATACAACAGAGGTTAAGAAGAGATTTTGGAGAGTTGTATCGAGCAGTAGTTAGTCTCTTAAGTAGGCTGTTCATACCCATTTTCTCTCCTGGCGTCATCTATATCAGAGTACTTGCTCACGTTAACTTAAACTCTACCTTTAGAAGATAATCTGCATCTCAACTAACTTGATGAAAAGGACTGCCTTTTGTTTTTACAGCAGGTTTTTCAAACATCATCTAGTAGAAATCTTCTGAGATAGATTCTTTCCCTTCACCTTTCTGTAACTCTTACACAAATGCCTTGAGTTATGACTAAAATATAAATATATTTTATTTAAATGTTAATTTACCTGGCATAAATCATGTTGGTATTTGAACTCCAAGGCAACCAAAGTGTTGGCTGTAGTAATAATTTCAGAAATACTGTATTATTACTTGGAGGAAGAAACACCAATAACCTATGCTATGCTGGTGACACTGTCCTGATAGTCAAAAATGCAAAGGAACTGCGAGCTCTAGTAATAAAAATTAAGGAACAAAGTGAAAAAAATGGGACTAAAATTAAATATGAAGAAAACCAAACTACAGGTAGTCCTCGACCATTCATTTAATGACCATTCAAAGTTGCAACAGTGCTGAAAAAAGTGACTTATCACCAGTCCTCACCCTTACGGCTGTTGCAGTGTCCCCACGGTTATATAATCAAAATTCAGGTGCTTGGCAACCAGCATGTATTTACAACAGTTGCAGCATCCCGGGGTTACATGATTGTCATTTGCAACCTTCCCAGGGGGCTTCCAACAAGCAAAGTCAATGAGGGAAGCTGGATTCGCTTAACAACTCTGATTTGCTTAATGACCATGGCAAAAAAGTTCATAAAATCAGGCAGGACTCACTTTAACACCTGCATTGCTTAGTGACAGAAGTTCTGGTCCCAATTGTGGTCATAAGTCCTAGCTTAAAACCATTTGTTCAGTGACTGAAGTTACAGTGCCACTAAACAAATGGTACTTATGCCCAGTCCCCAAAGTTAAGGCTGTTGCAGCAGTCACGTGATCTTTGGGCACTTGGCAACCTGCCCTGCACTTATTTATTTACTTATGCAATTTCTATAGTGGCCCATCTCAGTCCAAGTGACTCTGGGCAGCAAACAATTTCAATCATTAAAACAATTACAAATTATACATATAGGTAGCTGAGAATTATAAAAATTACATAAAAATCAACAGTGCAACCAGGTAATGGGGCCCTTAACACTTGCATGACTCCAGGCTCAGGCACATTGCCAGTTTTTAAAGCCTTACAAAAGGCTAGCAGGGTTAGGGCCATCCTGACCTCCAAAGGAATGTTCCAAAGGGCAGGAGCCTTCTCTGCTGAGAAGGCACACCTTCAAGTCCCCACCAGCTGACATTCCTTGGCTGATGTGATCTGCAGTATCTCCAATCTACTAGACTGAATTGGATGGGTAGAAACTATTTGGAGAACTTAGGTAACCCGGTCCTAAGCCATGCAGGGCTTTAAAGGTGACAACCACCACCTTGAATTGCACCTAGAAACACACAAGTAATCAATGCAGCTCCTGCAGTAGTGGTGTTACATGTGCTGTATATCTGGCCCCATTTACTTCCAGTGCAGCTGCATTTTGCACCAGCTGAAGCTTCCAAATGCTCTTTGAGGGTAGCCTAATGTAGAGTGCGTTGCAGTAATCCAAACAGGAGATAACGAGGGTGTGAGTGGCTGAGGAGAGCCTCTCAGTCCAGGAATGGGTGCAACTGGCACACAAACTGAAGGTATGCAAAGGTCCTCTTAGCCACAGCTGCCACCTGCTCTTTGAGCAGGAGCTGCAAGTCCAAAAGGAGCCCCAGATTGTGCACAGGGTCTGTCTGGGGTAGTACTATCCCATCCAGTACCAAAGATGGAAAAACCTTGTCCCCAGGAGGCTCAAATACCCAAAGCCACTCCGTCTTGCTTGGATTGAGTCGGAGCCCATTGCGTCCCATCCAGGCCCTTGCAGCCTCCAGACATCGGGATAGGACATCTACGGCATCACTCAACAGGCCTGGGGTGAAGATATATAACTGGGTATCATCTGCATAATGATGGTACCTCACCCCAAACTGTCAGATCACCTCAGCTAGTGACTTCATGTAGATGTTAAATAGGAGAGGAGAGAGAACGGAGCCCTAAGGCACCCCACACAATAGGGGCTGTGGGCTGGATCTCTCCCCCCATCAACACTGACTGAAATCAACTCCGGAGGAAAGAGGAAAACCAGAACAGCACAGTGCCGCCTACCCCCAACTCCCAAAGCTGATTCAGAAGGATACGATGATCAATGATACTAAATGCCGGTGAGAGGTCAAGAAGAGCAAGGGTGGATGCACTATCCCTATCCTGCTCCCAGCAGAGGTCATCCAAGAGTGCGATCAATGTTGTTTCAGTTCCAAATCTCAGCCTGAACCCTGACTGAAAGGGGTCCAGATAATCTGTTTCATCCAGAGTCCTCTGCAACTGCCACGCTACACTCTCTCCACCACCTTTCCTAAAAAGGGGAGGTTGGAAACTTACCACCTTACAAACTTACAACCACAGGGGCGCTTCAACTCCCCCCACTTGTCTATCTCCCTCATCTTTGCCCTTTTGGTCACCCTGCACAGTGGCACTCCTCGGTGGGATTCACTACTGGTGAGATTGAGTTAACAATGGCAATGGGGACTTCCAGGATTGCTGTCGCTAAATGATGAGGTCACGTGACATTGCACTTTACGACCACATTGCTTAGCAACAGAAATTCTGGTCCCAATTATTGTCAGAACTTGAGGACTACCTGTAATGACAACAGGAAGTATAACTGGCCTTAGAATTGGCAATGAAGATATCAAAGTGGTGGATATCTTCTGCTTTTTAGGATCAATCATCAGCAGTAAAGGAACAAGCAGTCAAGAAATACGCGGCAGACTAATACTTGGTAGAGCAGTGATGGCCTTGGAAAAGATATTCATATGCCATGATGTGTCTATACCGACAAAGATCAGAATTATGTAAGCCATATTATTCCCTGTGACACTATGGAAGTGAAAGTTGGGCTTTGAAGAAGCAGGATAGAAGGAGTATTGATGCTTTTGAACTTTAGTGTTGGAGAAAACTCGTGAGAATAATTGGACAGCCAAAAACACAAACCAACGGATCACTGAACAAATCAGCTCCGAGTTCTCACTCAAGCACAAATGATCAGGCTCAAATTATCCTACTTCGGATACATTATGTGAAGACCCAGCTCTCTGGAAAAGGCTCTAATGCTGGGAAAGGTGGAAGGTAAGAGGAAGAGGACAACCAACAGCAAGGTGGATGGACTCAGTTACAGTAGTGATGAGTACAGTGTTGGAAGACGTGAAACACCAGGTTAGGGATAGATTATCATGGAGAATATGTGGTTGCTGGGAGTCGAAAATAACTTGATGGCAATCAATCAATCCTATTACTACATACAAAACAGTATTATTCATAAAATAACAAAATCATTTGTCCTTCAGCTAAAAGGAAAAAGTAATTTCTTTTAATCACTATAAAATGTAACTCAAAAGACTACATATAAAAAGTAGGATAAACTCAGTTCTTCTTCTTTACAGATGTTCTTTATTAATTGGGGGCAGGTGAGCATATGCACATTAGCTCCACTTCCCACCACCATCAAAATGCAGGTGGTGGCTACATGCTACATGGCACTACTGCAGTGCTCCTATGTTATTTCACTATATTGATAATTGCTTATGAAGCTCATATTCACTGATAAGTTCACCACTCAACTGCAGATTACTATAGAATGGTATATAATTTCAGAAATATTATAAGTTGATATTAACAACAGTCCTCCATATGTTCTATTTCTTGAGATTCTTTTCATAGAGCTCATAGGCAAATGATTCTGTGTGTGCTTGGTCGCTTAACAATCCAATGAAGTCTATTTCCAGCTGGAATGGACCGTCTACTTTATCAGCAATGGTAAATCCCAATGTACTGATCTGTTAAAAAGAACCACTTTGTATTATTTTCACAAAAATATTTTTGTCTAAAGTCATGCAGTTTTTATTTATCTTCAGTCTGATCAAGCCTAAATTGATATGTTTGTATAACTATGTTTTTTATTCATAAAGGAGATGAGGCCTCAACTACAAGTTCTTGATTAGAAATGTGCAAAACTCACTCAATTCAGAAACAGAATTTCCGGAGAACTCAGAAATGTTCCAAACCTCTCCTCCTTCAATACACATAACAGCAATCCTCAAGGCTGAAAGCTCCTCTGAAACAATGTGCAGTAGAGTATAGGGAGCTGTGGTGGCCCAGGAAATCAAAAGAATTCAGCAAGGCTGTCTTTTGTATGCAGCAAGGCATTTCTACTCATTCAATATATCCCTGGATCCAAGCCTTAGTCTTTGTTCAATTCCCAGATAACAGCTTGGTATTATACATTAATGCATTTGTAAGATGTGGTTTGATGCAAGCTCAAAGAAGGTATTTAAAATTTCTCCCTTTTTACACTACCTGCTAAAAGAAACCTCAGACAAACCTTTTAATAAAGATGGGTCAAATTTTAAACATGTATATTGCTTTAATTATTAAAAAAGTCTTAAAATATGTGGAAATGGATTTAAGATACATAACAGTTTAAAAATAGAGCAGTGTCTCTGAGAGAAAGCCCACCCAAATGTGGGCTGCAATCCAGTACACACTTACCTGAGAGTAAATCCCACTGAATTCAGGTTAGACTTACCACTAAATAGATTATGCATTAACATTTTGCTGTTCTTTTTTATTTTATACATGATTGGAAAGAACTTTTTGTAGTCAAACTTGGCTTCTAGTAATTACATAGGAAAATCCCTGTACTTATGTAGGCAGTGTTTTTGGAAGTTTGCTACTGCCTTCTTCCTAGGGTTGAGAGAGAACGACTGGCTCAAGGTCACCCAGCTGGATTTTGTACCTAACGCAGGACTAGAACTCATGTTTTCCACTGCTAGTCCAACACCTTAACCTTTAAACCAAACTGACTCAGATGGATCGTGATATGATACATGCTTCCAAGCCTTGTTGCCTTTAAACGATAAATTACATTTTATTCATTGCACTAGAAGATCTATCATAATTGTTTAAGTAGAGAGTATGTACTTCAGGGTTGAACTGTTGGATTCCTGATGTTTGCTGAGCATGTTTTCCTGCACTACACTGCACTGCACTGATGTTACCTAGCATAATAATGAAACATCTGCAGGAAAACCACCAAGTTCAGAGCACACCAAGAATCCAACCATCATAATTGCTTTTAATGTTCTAGTTGTCCTAGTCACATGGAAAGGTAACAGTGATTGGAGCAGGGAATCAAGGAGGAAAACATGGCACACAATGAAGGATTTGATTCAATTTTCTGTAACTATATTGTACCAGGTATGAACAGTCAGATCGAAGACTGAGATTGTCAGAAACATGGTCAGGGAATATCTTTTTATTTTAAATGTGTTTCAATATCCAGGATCAGATTAATTTCATATTAGGGTACTGAAGGAACTAGCTGATAGTCTGATATATATTATGCTTGATATATATTATATTCAATAATTTTGGAGAACTAGTAAAGTGCCAGATGACGAGTGAAAATGTCCCTCACATCAAAAATAGGAAAAGAGAAGATCTAGCAAACTACAGATCAGACAATCTGACATACTTGGGAATATTTCAGAGATGATAAGAAGTTTAATCTGTAAGCACCTTGGTACTTACCAAATGTTAGATGAATTTGTCAAGAACCATCCCGGCCTAACTTTATCTCATTCTTTGATTGGGAAACTTTCTTAATAAATTGGGAATGCTGTGGACATAATATATCTTGGCTTCAGCAAAATATCTGATAAAATTCCTCATGACATGTTGATTAACAATCTAGTTAAGTGTGGGCTGAATGTTATAATTAATCAAATGCACAGTTAGTTTGAAAAGTCTGCTCAGATACTGGTTCCTCATCAAACTGGAGAGAGGTATCAAATGGGGTGCCACACGGATTATTCCTGGGTAATTTACTCTTTAGTGTTTTTCTTAATGAGGAGGGAATACTTATTACATTTCCTGACAACCAAACATTGGGTGAGGTAGCCAATATTCAAGATGGAAATACAATTGAAAATAATGTGATAAGTTAGAGAAATGGGCTGAAAGTAAATGTAACAATGACAAATGCAAAGTTCTTCACTTAGGAAATAAAAATCAGATGCATGAGTACTGGACTGGAGATACAGCTGGCATGGTGACAATACTTGCAAAAAAATAGTGCTAATAGCTAAAGCTCAGTTTCTTCATGGAATAGTAGTTGTTGGCAAACTTGAACAGCCAGCACAGTGATACCACCATAAAAAATTAAATGCAGCGTTAGGCTGCTTCAACAGAAATAACATTTCCAAACTATGGAAAGTGTTCCACCTTTTTCTGCTTTGATCAGACCCCACCTTAAGTACTGTGTCCAGTTCTTGACATCACAATAAGGGCAACAAGGATGATAGGACGCTAGAAAGAAACTTCTGTGAAGAGAGATTGAAGGAGCTGAGTATGATTACTTTAAAAAAAGTCTGACTGAATGGGGGGATATAATAGCACTCTTCAATTCCTAAAAGAAGTACAAGGCTTGATTCCTCTTGTACCAGAGTGCAGGACATGAAATAATGGATTTAAGTTATAGGAAGGCAGATTCTGAATGAATGTTAAGAAAATACTTCCTAACAGTAAAAGCAGTTTGACAGGGGAATCAATGAGAGAGAGAGTTGTTGGGCTTTCCTTCATTACATGCATTCAGGCAGAGGCTAGATAGCCATCTCTCTGAGATGCTTTAATTTGGATTCTGCATTGAACTGAACTTGACCTAAATGGCCCCTTCCAATCAGAGTAAACAAATTGCTTTCAATCATTCTACAACATGAGTACACTTTATTTATTCTTTATATGCTATATTTTTAGTTCTTTACCCTAATTACTTGGATATCAAAATTAAGATTCTCCATTGATAAAAAAAGGCTTAAGCTATAGCAGCATTCCTTCATAAGAAGATTACTTTGCTGGACATCAATAGATTCATAAAGGACATTAATTATGGTTTTAATGTTTTGTGTGAGTGCCCAGAGTCCCCCATTGGGGGAGATGGGCAGGGGAGTAAACAAACAAACAAACAAACAAACAAGCAAACAAACAAACTTACTTATTCATACGTCAGTGATTCACATTCAATAGATATAACAATAAAGGATTTCAAGGAAATTTCACCAAAAGTTTATGATTATATTTCTCATTGAAACTGAAAGGTTGAAGACAATGAAGTGGAAACATCCCAAAAATTACAACTATATTTTTTATTACTCCTGCTAACAAACTACAGACAATCCTTGCTTAACCACTCTAATTGGGACCAGAATTTCCATCACTAAATGAAGTGATTGTTAGGTGAAATATCACGTGCACACATTGCTTAGTGATGGCAGTTTCGGTAGTCCCAGTTGTGGTCATTAGGCCAGGAGCTCACACTTCTCCTACCCTGTCACACTCACCTCCACTTCAACTCCCTCCACCTGCCTATCTCCCCCCTCATCTCTGCCCTTTTGGCTGCCCTGCTCTTCACTGCCCTCCGCTGACTTTCACTGTCTTCTTCCTCCTCCAGCTGATGAGGTGCACCCAGCCTGGCCCTTTGCAAGGCAGCTGCTGGCCACACAATGCCTTCCTACCTTGTGAAGGGCCAGGCCAGGCATGCTTCATCAGCAGTGGGAGGAAGATGGCAAAGGTCAGCTAGGGGTGGCAGGGCTGCAGAGTGGCAGAGGGCAGGGTGGCCAAAAGGGCAGACATGGGGGGAGATAGGCAGGTGTGGGAAGTTGAAGCACACCCTGTGGTCATAAGCATGGGAGGACTGCGAAGTATCCGAATTTTGATCACGTGACCGTGGGACTGCTGCAATGGCTGTGATTTCCAGGATGGGTCGTAATGACCATTTGTTCAGCACCATTATAACTTCAAATTGGCACTGAATGAATGGTTTTTAAGCAAGGACTACCTGTAGCATGTAAGATAGCTGTGCTCTCAAAAGAACAAATTCTGGTACAGGTAGTCTTTGAGTTACAATGGCAATTGGGACTGGAACTTCCGTTGCTAAGTGATGCAGTCGTAAAGTGCAATGTCACATGATATCGCTTAGCAACAGCAATCCTTGCAGTCTCCATTGCTGTCGTTAAGCAAAGATTGTAGGTCATTAAGAGAGTACCTCCTCACAACTTCCTGCCAGCTTCCAACAATGAAAGTCAGTGGGGAAGCCAGCAAGAAGTTGCAAGCCTCAGATGGCTCAGAAGAGGCTGGCAGGCAAATAAGTGGCTGATGCCAGGTGGGGGAGAATGCGTGAGAGTGCGCGAGTGGCTAGGGAAGGTGCAGGAGTGGCCAGGGAGGCACAGCGCGAGTGCAGGCAGGCTCAGGGAGGGGGCACGGGGGGGGGGG